GCGTGTGTATATTACGTGTGATTGTTGATTTCTTGCGCCATGCGGCGTTTGTATTGTAGCTGATTCACTGAACGATAAGGGAGCGTCTCCTCTATCAACGGCCAATAACAGGATTTTGGTCGGATCTGTATTGGATAACTATTGGATTTTTGAGTGTGAGCGAGTGAGGATGGATGGAAAATTAATAAATGTAATAATGTAATTACACAATTTCGGGAAGTGTTGTTACTCGATTGGTAGCAAAGATATATGTATTTCGTTGGAGAGACAGACGAGGAAAATTCGATATAGAGATCGAATAACTTATGTAAACGAGGAGGAGAGAGGGGCCACGAGTTTTCTTCGCTAATAGATAGTATATTATAGCCGTAACGATATAGGGAATCGTGGCTCGCTCGCGAGACCGTTTGAATTTTACGGCTGTCTCTATTCTTCACGGCTATCGTATTTATGGTGCACCGTACGAGAAAGAAACAGAGGAGAAACAGTTCAAAGAGGGTTTTCTACTAGGCGATCCGATCAGGCCGCTCGTAAATAATTCTCATCGCCTGAATTCGCTCTGATTTATAGTTAATTCAACTACTACACCGATTACTTCCCACCAGCAACGACAACGGCGACGGGGCTCTGCTTTCCTCTCGCTCGGTGAAACCTCGTATTTCTCTTTCTCTCTCGTTTCGTGTTTTTTTTTTGACATCTTTCTTTATGGATGTATATTATTGCCGTTCGAGAATCATGTAGAAGAATGGCGAGGATAGAAATCGAGGGAGAAATATTACGAAAATTAAACTCGATGGACAGTGAAAGTAAATATTGATGATCGCGATAGAAATTAAACTTACGGACTATTTGAAAATTACAATAAACCGGCAACATTAGTTTGGAATATTACTCGTGGTATATTACTCGTTTCCGTAATTATCGAAGATGGTGTAATCTTACGATATTTATGAATCTATGAATCTTTATCTCTCAAGATTAAAAGAAATCGATCCTTTTTTTCCATGAACGATGGAAAACTCGTGGAAATCGTTGAATTCGATCTTTCGAGCGGAATGAACGGATCGCAACGGGTCACAGCGTGGTTCAATCGTGGCTCGAAAATTAGAATACACCGGCAATATTAGTTTGGAATATTACTCGTTTCCACTTGTCCATAATTATCGAAGGTGATGATAATCTTACGAATCTATGAATCTTTATCTCTCAAGATTAAAAGAAATCGATCCTTTTTTTCCATGAACGATGGAAAACTCGTGGAAATCGTTGAATTCGATCTTTCGAGCGGAATGAACGGATCGCAACGGGTCACAGCGTGGTTCAATCGTGGCTCGTGCGTGAGTGTGCGTGCTCCTTGGAGCGGGTTTGGCTCGAACATCGAAAGGGTCGGATGTGCACCGGCCGGTTTAAAATGTGAGTCAGTGCCGTGGATTCGTCCTTGGTATTCGTGCATTTCACAGTCCACCTCGAATCGTCCTTCTACCGGGTGAACGAATTCGAGCGAACGATCTCGATTTCAATCTTGACCTCGATATCCCGATTTATTTCGAACGGGGCCTGGATTATATACGCTTTCTTTAATTATAACGTAAGTCGGGTGATTCGACTTCGTTCGATCGTATATAATTCCGATATTATTTTAAAATTATAATACGCTTTATATCTCGTCCAAGTTGAAACATTTAACATTGTGCATCGCATTAAATCACATTGCATTACATTTAATTTTTTAAATTTAACTTTATAACGACAATGTTGAATCAACATTATGGCGTCGTGTTATATGGTAATAATCGTTTTTTGAATACGGATTTTGGATTTTTGAATTGTAAAAAAAAATATTTCATGTTTATTCAGCATCTTGTAATCACATGCAAATTCGTATTTTTGCGAAGATAAGTAAGAGAAAAATTGAACGGGAGTAAAAAAAGTAAATTTTACACGCTTGATTATATATTTTTATGTTCCACGATTCGTTTCCATTCCAAAAAAGAAAAGATTTATCCGATAAATCGATATATACAGATGCGATTATTAAAAGTCGTTATCCTTCTTTATAATTCTAACCTTGATTCAATCAAATATACGCGACTTCACTGTCGCGATATATAATCTCTAATAAAAGTTACGATCGCAGCCTAATAAGCTGCAAGATAAAAATAAGTAAAGTTACGAATATTTTAACTTAATATTTTAAATATATCGAAAAATAGGATAGATAATAACGTCTCTCTAATAACAGTTTTCGATCCATCGAGTATTCATGCTCGTCAATAATAATATAATATCGATAATTCTAGATAATAGTAGCGAAAGAATAGCTCGAAAGTCTCGTGAGTCGCGCGACTAGAATTCTCGCCAGCTGCAATTCGCGTGATCGATGCTGTTACGTAACCTCTACTCGCACGACCAAAATTCCAGCGAGTGCATTGGCGCAATTACATACGATACGATACGAACAAATTGCTTTCTCTCTCTCTCTCTCTCTCTCTCTTCGAATTGATTTAATGCCAATCTCTCGATATTTTTTTTCCGCGAGGAAAGGTGATTTCTGTATTTATAGGTTATCTCGTGAAAGTGAGGTTAGGAGATTTATCGATAATCTTGACACCTATATTTCAGCATTTTATTATTCGTATTAAGAGTGTCTTTGATATTATTCAGTTTCCTAGAGATCTGTGTTGGATTTAGATTCGTTGGAAAAAATTTGATCGAAGTTGTTTCCGTATTTTTAATCCGTGTATCGCCAATTAGAGGATAATTAATTATTGTGACTTAATAAAATCGAGATCTGTACACGTCCAAATATCATTCTCTATTCTTTTATCAATCCGTTATACTTTATTTTCTCTTATATATCCCGACAAAGAAGAATTTGTCCGAAGGATTGAAAAATAAAAATTTCTCGCACGCTAGTATATATATTCCGTTTCTCGAACATTAGAATTTTAAGAAAGCGAAACTCGAGCAAAATTTTCACCCGAATATCGATAATAAATACCTTCTCCAATCCTTTCGTCCAATGTTCATCGAAATATTTATCATCGTTCCATTTCCTTTTTTAATTCAAACGATTAAGCTCATCAACAAACTTTATCTTTACTCTCTGATCTTTACTTCACTATGGATCGAAAGCAAAGAGCGCGTGAAAAGTTCAACTTCTCTTCGACTTCGGCCACTTTTCAATCGCTTCTCAACCTCTCCTCTTCGAGAGATTCGCGCGATATCGCGACGAGCAGACGGAAGAGGATCCGCGTCTGAGAGGAGGGTTTCGTCGCGACTTTTCACGACTTTACACGTGGCTCGTGATTCAGTCACGTAGCTCGGCTCGTTTAAGCCCGTGATCGTTAGGCGGCTGGTGTTATATGGGCGTAACGCGATTCTCGTGTCACGTAGCGTAACGCGTGGCCCTTCCTTCGTTCCCTCGCGAAAAAACGAGAGAGGGAAACGACCGAGAGCCGATGCGCGGCGGAAGAGGAGAAGAGAGGAGGAGGGTGCTGTGCAGGCAGACCTTCTCGTGACGTCCCGCCGTTGGAACCGGGCGGGCTCATATTTGGAAATAATCTCCGCCCGCAACAACGAAAGTGAAACGAGCCTTCGTGACGTTTAATGGAGGGCCGAGGTTGAGGTTCACGCGCACTCCTCCCATTTTCTCAGACCTCCTTCAAAGGTCAATCCCTCGACTGAAGCAAGTTTCACACTCGATTTTTTCACAATCCAATTTTCCAAGTAAATTTCGAGACGGTCTCTCCAAGCCTTCTTGTTCGAGAAAAATAAGGTTTTTAATCCTTTACATTCGTCAAGTAACGAATGTAATTGAATTATACATATATTTATGTATAAATGTATGTATAATAATAAAATGTAGGCGAGGATTAAAGCGGAATTTTAAAAGAAATTTAATGGAATACTGAAATACAAATATAAGATATTGAAATCATACAGAATTTAAAACTTAAGAACAATAGAAACAGAAAAGACGGACAGGCGTGATCTGTCAGCGAGCCATTCTGCATCTTTATACAATTTTAAAATTATGTGGTAGCACAGAAGGATGTTGAAACAGACGAAGTAGTGAGCGAAGAAGTAAAAGTAGAGAACAACTACCAATTCAGAATCGGTGATTACAGATGGTTAATGAAAACTAAGAACATATGTATATATATAATTTTATTTTAAATTGCACAAAATAAAAATATTAACAAAACTACTTCCATTTATCGCTTTCCAATCAGTAACATTTGTGACTGTGAATCACTCGAGGAACGTGAATTTAAACGAGAATTCCGAAAGTTTGGCGAACAAGTTGGAGTAGAAGAAAGATGGATAGAATATCGGATTAGATCGGCGGTTATTTCGCGATAATCGGGAATGAGTCAGAGTGGTCGATGGATTGGGAAATCGGGCATTAACCGCCGGTTTCCGGCACCGCTCGCTACTATCACGTGTACACCGTGAACAGGATAATTTGTGTCGAACGCGTGACCGAGCTGGCTGAGATTTATGCGCGGGATAGGCACGCGCGGCCGCTGTTCCACTCGATGTTTATCTAAATCGCTCCCAGATCTCTTTCCATGCATTACGCCTTGCACTTTAACTCGGTTTTTGGCCCCCACTTAGGCGGAAGATAAGCTGGTCTCGATTAAGCTGGGTTTCGATTAATGTTTGCTCGAGCCCGCTCACGTTACGTTGTTGCACAGAGATGTTTAATGTTTATTAAATGAATCTAGTTGCTCTTTCTTCTTGATTTTTAATTCGGTTTTATTTACGGAAGTGAAGAAGCATAGTTTTATTACATTATGGATAGATTGCACGATGATTGTGTCGGTGAGTGTAATTAATTTTGAATGGTTACTCGATTCGTCGAGGATATTAGTTGTATTATTGTGTTGAATCATTTGTTGAAAACTTTGAAATTAATTCAAATTGTTAGATAATTGATTTTGTTTAAAATTTTCAAATTGTACTGATATATCTTTTTTTTTTTCTTCTGTTTTCAGGTAAGATCCATGTACCGTCGTTTCACGAATTCCCCACCCCCCTCTCCCCAAACCTCGAAGGGCCATTTATTAAACGCTGGATCAGAAAGACTCGGCATGTTCAAGGTAGAGTATTAAACATATTTAACTATCAATTACTCTCAACTTAGCCGCAATATGGATCTTGAATAACAGTTGGAACTTGACTCGAATAATTTTCACCAGGTCGATCATTTGATCGATACACATAGACACTAGTAGGTCTAGGCTGCTCGTTAATGCACAGAGATTTCCTCGAAACGATGTCAAGGCCGTGACCTAATGCAAGGTCATCGACGCTTCTTTCTCTGTCTCTCCCCTCTCTTCCTCCGTAATTCTTCTGTTTTCCGCCGTTGGAATTTTCACCGTGTCCAAGTCGAACTCGTGGAATCTGTGCCAGGAATGCCAGCTTCTATCGAATCTGATTGAAAATCTGGAAAACCTCTTTGCTGGAATCGATAAGTATCGCGATATTTCAATCATCCACGAGCATATCGAGTCACCTTTGCACAACACGCGTCATTCTTACAGTTAAAAACCAAAATTTCATTTTTCTATTAAAAAAAATATATATATATATATATCTATTTATTTCTCCCTAAATTTCTTCGATTCGAAGAAAAGCCACCCAACCTCTGATCGATCGAAAGAGGATCTTTCCCCGACGACATGAATGGAACAAAAGTCACGATTCGCATTGAGATCTCGTAGAACGAGATAGTCCTCGAATAAATATGCACCGCGCCGCGTCCGTAGGAATCGTAGGAAGTTCTTTCTCGTCGCTTTCCTTCCTTCCTTTCTTTCTTTCTTTCTTTCTTTCTTTCTTTCTTTCTTTCTTTCTTTCTTTCTTTCTTCCCCTCCTCGCGTGTCGGTGACCCGTATCATCGATAACGATCGATGGCCTGCCGATTAGCCCCGTCGTCATAAATCGAACGATACCTACGAGTTTTCTAATCTGCATGATAAAGGGCGATTGAAAAGAAAACAAAAAAGAAAGCAAAATGCGCGCAATGCGTATGGAGGGAGGGGGGGGGGGCATTATGCCACCGTGCCATGAGTCACGATTCTTATCGTTTCGGCGCCGCTAATGGAATTAATGAATATTTCTTCGAGCCCCCTCCTCCCCTCGCCTTCCGCTCGATTATCGGCGGTTTCTAATCGACGATTAACGAGCCTTTGTTTGAGCACAGGTTTCTCTTAATTGTTCGCCAACAGGGTGTCGTGAGTTCAGAATTTAACTATGACGTGAAATTTTCCCTTTCGACTCTTGGTGATATCGATATGGTATTTTTTAATAATAAAGTGATAAAAAGTCGATAAAGTGATTCAACTACGATTTAATTTAATCCACCACTTTGTGTTCGATATTACGTTCGATATCGGTTGTCTCGTGAAAATAAAAGAGTGAATTACCTTTCCAAAAATTCCATCTGCGCGTGATGGGTACACAATTCTCGGGGAGATAACGAGGATAATCGTTTAAATGGCAATATTCGATATATTTTCGTCTCGTAATTTATACGCGGTTCTTCAAACGGGATCGAGAGATAGAAACATCATCACAATCGAAATATTTATATACCGTGCAAAGTGTTTATAAACACTGGTAAATTTAATAGAAATCGACGAAGGATTTGACTGAGTTTCGAAGTTGTCGAATCGAAAAGAAAATGCCTGTGAAAATTAAAAAGATCGAGCTCGAAGGAATAGATAATGATTCTATCGAATATTTCAAAAAGAAGGAAAAAGAAAAAGAAAAATTTATCGATTCTCAAATTTAATATAATCGAGGGAGAGGTTATTAATGGAAAAAAAAAGAGAGCCAAGTAGAAGGAAATGAATAAAAATGGAGTAAAAAAAATTGGAGGGATGGAGCTCGAATAATATATAAACATTTCCTGGGAAAATATCGGTTAAAAGACAAAAGCGGAACGGTCAATTACTTAAAGTACATATTCTACATTGTATAACCGGAGATGAAAAGCATCGAAAGGAGAAAGGTTATTGGACACGGGTCAAAAATGAAATATTCCCCGTAACAAAAGGCAGGTAAAAACGAAAAGGCTACTTGTACGACTCAAAAATGTAATGTTCTCCATAACAAAAGCAAGTAGAAACAAAAGCCAGTGACTCAAGAAACTTAACGTTCCCCCATAGCCAAAACGAAAAAAGCAACCAAACGTTCCAGCAACGTTTCGCTCCTACTCTCTCTTTCTCTCTCCGTTCCCTTATATATATATATATATATACATTTCTCTCTCTTCTCTCTCCTTCTTCTCTCTCTCTCCACCACAGAGTAACGAGAAACGCGTGCTTGAAAACGCGACTGTAGACCGTGGCAGACTATTCTCTCGCCTCGGCAGCCGCCTCGCCTGTCCTTCTTCTCCTTCGACTCCTTCTCCTCTTCCTAGTCCAAGGTGGAGGAGGTTGTTGCACCCTCCTCGAGCATTGTGCATGCGTGCACGAGGGTGTCTAGCCCCCTTCATCCTCTACTCTGTATGCAACCCGTCTCTCCTCTCCGCGATGGTGCAATGACACAGCTTCGTGGAAAGAAGGCATCATAGCGGAAGAATTCAGGATTATCGATTGCCACCTCCTGGCCACCGATTCTGCGCTCCTCTTCCGCGATTTTTTCCTTCCAGATTAATCGCCCCCTCTAACGTTTCCTCTCTCGAACATATATCTCTCGATACAAGCGAATTCACGCGATTTTAATTTTTATTAAAAAAAATCAACCTTTCGAACTTACAACCCTTCTTAATTATCAACAAGAAGAAAGAGAGAGAGGGACCAACGCTAGAAAATCTAAATATTTCAAGGGAAACACACACGCACACACACATATAGGGCCCCATACTCTCTCCATACCCGGTTTTATTATTCCCTTTCGAGGTGTGCTCGCGCTTAGAAAAGTCGCGGTATACTCGGCTGGCGCGGGTACTCCTTGGGCAGGAATATAAAGCGTTTTATGGGTCTGTCTGGCCGTGCGAGCGCGGCCGACACGGCGAGGGGCCCTTGGCCCCTTGAGCGCGAGTCCTCTTCGGGGTCCTTGCGCCCATCCGGCTCGGGACTGGATCGAGAGCAGTGCGCGTTGCCCGCTCGCTTCGTTGTTGTCCATAAACGCGTGGAAGCCGCTATAAATCAGGCCGTTTGTCGAGGAACGAATCCCGTTCGCGGTTCGTTAGAAAATTACACCGCTCCCTGGGCCTCGCGCACCGAGACAGAGAGAGAGAGAGAGAGAGAGAGAGAGAGAGAGAGAGAGAGAGAGAGA